ATCAGGAAAATCTAGATGCTCTCGTATACCATTGCTGAACCATGCAGTCCTTCCCTCCTGGGTTTACTTAACAAAGCATATTCTACAATCATATAAAAATTATTTTGTTGGCATATCATAACACCAAGCTCTGCAAGAATAAATTGAGATTAAAATGCCAAATTCTCTTCTGCAGAAGAGCAAACAGAATAATCAAAAACCAGCTGTTTCTGTCATCCAATGTCCTCTTTAATACCAAAAATGTCAGATGAGCCTACTTGAAATGCAACCTTTAACATAAAATGGTGCAATATTACTACTGAACAACACGACACACTCAAGAATTCAATCCACTGAGTTACATAGGCTCAGCAAGCATCTTCAAGGCTTTTGGGTCAGAAGCACACCAAAGCAAACAGGCGCACTCTCAAGAATCTTAGAAGGGTTTGGGCTTACAGTGCAACACTGCTGACATTTGCTAGTGTTATCCATATTTACTGACTTTTATTTCCACTTCACCATCAGCAATCAGAGTCCTGGAAACAGCCTTATAAACTCCATGCATCATAGTTCAAGGATAGGGAGGAATAAAGGTCTACGATTGCTTTTACAATGCACCAAGAAGGAAGTATGCACCTGCAAGTGCATACTTTAACATTGCTGACTGAAGCCTTACACGTGATAGCAGCATGGTCTTCTCTGGCATCTCTTGTGGTGGTAGAAAAACAGCATGCAACCTTCTTCTCAAGGCTTACAAAGGACATACTTTAGCATGTCCTTACCTAAATAAGCCCTTGATGGATATTTCTGACGAGAAACCAACCAAGAAAATTGTGATGGCAACTAAGTGAGGGAATAAAATGGATTATCCACTTCACACCTTCACCATTAAACCAATAGCTGACTTAATTGCCAGGCTGAAGTTGCTGTTAACAGTATGCAGATTCATTTGTGTTGTTCCCCCCACCCGAAAAGGGTCCAGGATGTGCCTCCAGCGGCACCAGAAAGGAAGAGCATTCCTACACAAGACAGAGTTGCTAAAAAAGCTTGAAGGTACTTGAAATAAAAACCTTTTACCATCCCATCACCCTATTACAGACCACCTGATAACCAGGGCCATCTGATCACATCTGTGCTAGACCTCTTCACTAAATGTGGACTGGTTGTTGGCATTTCAGGCATGCCAATCAAGAGCCCCAGACTGCAGACTGGAGACACTATGTTTTAAAAGGGCAAAGCAAGCTTTACCGTAAACAAAAAAAAACAGAAAACCCTCCTGCTGCTTCCATTAACATACTGCCAAACACTCCCACCTTCACTGATGAAAGGCGACCAAAGCATCACCAGAGCAAAATTATGGAAAATATCTTCAGTAGGCAAATCCTCCATGGCTATTCTTCCCCGAGTGTCAGTGCCTTAATAACAAGACAGGAAGGGCAGTAGCACTATGCTGTTGCCTTTATTTTTAGTGGGCATTCAAAAGTAATTTCTGATGGCTTTTATTGAAGGACCTCAAAACTGTTTCATGTCTGAGGAAACAGCAAAGAACAGACAGCACAGGCACTACCACAAGGTAAGCCCCATGGCAAGACAGACAATCCAGAAAAAGCCAGAAAGCAGTAAAACCACCATTCTGTAAGCCAGAAGCCACCCTGCCCTCCCCATACCTGTGGTGAGACACTACAGCAGATTTACTGAAAGATTTCTCCCCTTCTTACAACACAGTAGATACAAAAGGTTTCTGTATTTGCTTTCAACTCTAGTAATGGTGGCTCAGTTCCACCAGTACTGAAAGAAACTAACAGACAAAAAACAATGGCACATACAACCCTGAAGACCTCACACAAGTTTAAGAAAAAACAGCAGTAGCTAGTGCCCCTCAGCACCAGCAGCACAGGACCTGGGCTTCTCAAACAGATTTTGGAGCTGTACTCAGTGGCAGAGATCCAGCAGCAAATCCCTGGTCTTCCAAATCATCCCTTAGACACTAGATGTTAAGTTTCAAGTCTCAGATCCAAGAAGCTGAAAAGCTGAAGCTTTTCTGTAAGACACTCAAGTGAGGATGTAAAAGTTCACCATCTTAAGATTCAGAATGAACATTCAAGGAATCACTTAAATCCTCCTGCCTCTAATTTTTATTTAGCACCCATCCCATTAGAAAAATGAATTCTGGATTGGTTTAAGTCCTTCTCTGCAGCATAACATATGTATTTTTTTAGAGTGTCTACCTGCAAGCCACTACACCAAAGCAGTGTAACCAGTAACCCTAAATGGGTCATTTACTTAAAATGGTGCGAGAATTACTCTGCTAATAGTGAAGCATCACACCACAGACCTGGGGAAAACCTTTTCATAGCATCTGCCACCTACGCACTAGAGTTTATTAAAATAATATTCAGAAAAATCGGCATTCTTCTCAATAAGTGCCTTAAATTTGAACCAAATGAGAGTTAATAAGCAAACAAAACTCCCAACAATGCTGTTTTACCAACTCCATGCACTGAGACAAACTCACCCTGGTAGCACATGGGGGAAACCCCAGGCTCACATGAAAGTAATACAACTACTGAAGAATAGCTAAAACCCAAATAACTCAATACCTAATCATGTTACAGATACTTCATTTCTTATGGAATCTTTCCACCTGTATGTATATGAGAAGCCTGGGACTAGATGAAAGAATGGATTCAACACATCAGTATATTAATCCACACTTACTATTATGACTAAATTACATTTATGTAAGACCAAGACACACACTTGGTCAAATTCCATAATTCTGCATCTCACAGCACATAGTTAAGCAAATAACAAGCTTCACTTCAACTATCAAGAGCTAAACACTATCCAAATACAGGCACAGAGAGAGACAAGGAATAAAAGGATCGCAATGCATGCCAAAACAGAGGTGTATAATACATACAATCAGTCAAATTTCTGTAATCGAAGAACAAGACTCAAAGGTCTTCTCCCTTAAAGGTATTCTCAACATGGACACCATCAAACCTAAACCCATCTAAAACAACACAGGTTCTTGAGAAATGCTCAAGATTCTCAATAAGTTCTCTGGTGAGCTCATATCCTTCCTTTTTGCTTAGCCATCTTTGCTCAACTGCACATTCACAGCCCCCAGGATGAGCTTACCACAGATACAACTTTATGTTTTCCATTACAACCTTACAACAGAAATAACCTGAATGTTCCTTACCGTTTTATAAGAAACATTCCCAACTTTGAACTCTGCCTACAGGAAACAGAAAACAACGAATTCTCTTTCTTAAGCCCTGCCTTTAAGGAAGGAAGGATAAGCTTTGCATACTGATTCTTACATTCTGCAGAAAGCAGATTACATCCAGGATAAGGAAATTGCAAAAAAAAAGTACCCAAGTGGGACAGAATGGTAAGTAAAAAATAACAAATGCTGAAGAAAAAAAAAAAAACACCAAAAAAAAAACACCAAAAAAACCCACACACAAAACAAAAACCCACAAGCCCCACACCAAATAAACAAACAAAAAACAAACAACAAACCCGACCAAACAGAACCAAAACCAGCAACAGAACAATTTAAGTCCCAAAACCTGCAACTACATCAGGGCAGCCGAGCAAAGCACAAAATAACCATTGCTGTTGCAACATCTTCTCCCAGACTTCTCAATAGCCATCAGCTTTCAGCAGAGAAAGGTTACAGAGAACCGGTGCTACCCCCAGGTGCCCCACTATACGGATTTCATTAGACTACCCCTGCACCACTGTAACAACTCCAAATCACCACCGAGGTGATACAGACATAGAGGTGAAGCGCTGCCCGCTCCCAAGCCCAGAACCCTGCACTCCCAGCTCAGCACAAAGCTCACCATCCATTTTAAAACCCAAGCCAGTCTACTTCCCGACACAACTTACGCACTTTAACACTGACGGCGTTTAACCTACTCAGATGACCCTCTGATACAACAGCTAAGAAAACCCATCTCAGAAAAAAAAAAGCACCCCCCCCCCCCCAAAAAAAAAGGTATTGATATCAATATAAATAAACGGCGTCTTCTGCAGATGGCGATTACTGCAGTTAATCCCTCCACAAAGCACGCCGGTGGGTCACCAACGCAGAAATCTGGTCACCCAAATACTCAAACTCCCTAACTTCACCGCCTAACAAAGGCTTTTAGGACTTTTATTTCCCCCTTCTAATTTGAGGTAACAATCCTTGGTGAATTATTCATACTCCTCAACTCACAGTGTCCAGCCACCCTTCACACCGTCCCGTCCCCTCCCCCCCCCCCCCCCAACAAGGGTTTAGGTTTGATGTTTTTTCCAAATCATATTTTCAGATTCCAAAAACGCCCGTTTCTACACAAAACCAGGCGGCCACCGAGCCCGGGATGATCTGGAGTAAGGCACAACCGATTCCTCCACACTCATTTTCAGAGGCAAAGGCAGCCCGCGGTCGCTCCCCGCAGGCGCAGGGCGCGCCCCGGCTCCTCTCACAGCCCTGCGGCCGCTCCTCGCCCGAGCCGGGTGTCTCGGTTTGGGCGCACAGGCCGCCCGGGCGCCACGGCGAAGCACGGGGAGCGGAGCGGGGCCCACGCACGTCCCGCGGGGAGAAAACACAGAGCGCGCTCCCACCCGCGCGTGGAGCCGTGCGCCGCGCCACGCCAGGCCGGCGGGACAGCTCCCGCCACAGGGAGCACCCCGGCAGCGGAGCCCCGGCCCGCTCCCCCCGCCGACAAAATGGCGACGTGGACGGCGGGGAGGAGAAGCAATGAAAGAGCGAAGCGCTCCGCAGGCCGGGGCAGCGCGGGGGAAGGGGAGGGGGCGGCGGTAACAAAGCGGGGGGCGGCGGGGTGCCCGGGGGACGGCGCCGGCAGCACCGGGGGGGGGTGGGGGGGCCGGCCGGGGGAGAGGGAGAGAGGCGGCCCTCAGTCCGGCCGGCGAGCGGGGGGCGGGCAGCGCGCTGCCGGCACGGGCCGAGCCCCGGCGCCGCGGGAAGACAGCTCGGGAGGCCTCCGTGCGGCCGGCGGTACCTCTTCTTGTCGGTGACGCCGCCGGGGCTGTCCATGGCGGCAGGCTGACTTCTCCTCCTCCCGCCGGCTACCCTGGATGCGAGGCGGGCGGCTCCAACGGCCGGCGCGGAGAGATGGCGGAAGGCGCCGGGTTTGGGGCCGCGCGGGCTCAGCACATCGGGGCAGGCTACAGGGAGGTGCGGGCTGCGATGGGCGCAACGGCGACGGTGGGAGGCGCGGGGCTGCGCGCGGAGGAGGAGGCGGTGCGGGGGCGGGCGCGGCCTGCCCGGGCCCCGCGCTGCGCCAGTGAGAAGCAGCGGCGCGGCCCGGCCCCTCGGCCGGCGGGGTCAGCTGAGCGCTCAGCTGGGAGCGGCCGGCGCCGCACGTGTGGCGCTGCGCGGGGCGGGGCGGGACCGACGCAGACCGGCCCCGGCGGAACCCCAGGCTGAGGGTCTCCGGGCTGGCACACCCCGCGTCCGCAGAGCGGGGCTCGCCCCAGCCGGGGTAGCTTGGCTTCATGCGGAGTAGCGCTGGTGCGGATCGCTAAAGAGTCGCCCCAAATGGGACCGCCGCTCCCTCCCGAGAGCCCGCCGGCACGGCCGCGCGTCCGTGGGCACGTCGCGTACTTTTATGGCACAGAACTTTATTCAGGGCTTGATGCCTCTCCCAAAGGTTTCCAAGTCCTAAGCCCGGGACATTTACAGTTAAAGAGTTCAAGCCCTCACGCTAATTACAGGGGCAGGGTGCTACGTCTCCGGGCGGGCCAGCGGAGTAACGCGCCGGTCATCCCGCATATTTCCAGCAAGCTGTGCAGCTTCAGGAGCCCAGGGAGGTCTTAAAGGACGGGGATGCGCTGAGGCACAGCTCTTCCGCAGCCTTCCCTCCCTCCTACCCAGGCAGGCCCCGACCCCGCTGGCCAAGCACCCGTCCAGGCTTGCGGGACGCGGGTTCTCAGTCCGCAGCATCGCTGTCTCTGCCGAGGCGCGGCGGGAGCGTCCCGATCCCTCGCCCTGCCCCGGGGGCGGTGGGCGGCCCGGCGGCGTTGCCCCGAGCTACCCCTGCTCCACCAGCGGCCTTCGGGGGCACCATAGAGCGGCGGGCCTGGGCGCGCACCCTTCCACAGCCCCATACGGCCGTTTTAATCGTGGCGCCGGGCGCTTCTTCCGAAGGGCCTCTAGGCCGCCTGCGAAGCTCGGCTGGCCCGTGAAGCTCCTGACGAGTGGGATGCTTGACAGGGCCTGCCCAGGCCTTACCAGTTGGCCTGGTGTTTACGAGGCCACGCAGGTGCTCAGGGGGGAGTCAGGCCAGAGGCCACAGCCGTCGGGGCACAGGGAGAGGAAAAGTGGGGACTGACCCCACGCATGGAAAATTACAGGCTCCACATTGACCTTAGCTATGTACCAAGGCTGAAGAGGTGCAGCTCCCTGACAGAGGGACTCCAGAAAGCTCAGACCTTCCTTTATGTTTTGTGGGCTTCCTGGAGGAAGGACTGTAAGTGATCGTATGGAGCTGAACCTCATAAGAATACTCGGTTTGCAGCTCAGATATAATGATACCTTTAAAAAAAGCAGCTTTGACAGGCATAAGCAACAGCCCTGTGCTGCTGTGTGCATAGGCAATGTAAGAAACATCTTCAGGGCAAAGCCATGCTTCAGTACTGCACCTTCCCAATACTTCTGTGAGGGGCCCAAACTTCCAGATAATGAGCTGTCCTTTTTGCATACAACCATGGATGTCTTGTGTTTAGGTTTTGTTGTTTTTTTTTTGGGGGGGGGGGGGGGAGTAATTTCTTTTAAGAAAAAGCAGGGACCATGGCATTAAATAGAAATCAGAAGGAATTTCTGTATGAAATTAATTGCTTCTGCCTGCAGGAGTCAGATATACAGAAGAGGCACAGGTGCTATTGACTCCTTTCATTCCTTTAAGGTTTCTCAGCCCAACGCTGACAAAGCCCAGCTTTGCTTAACTTATGAGATGTGACAACACAATAGCCCATGGCAGTGTGGCTGTGAATTACTGGTATTTCTGTTGTTCTGTGCTCCCTGGAGCCTTGAGAAGTGAAATAATCAAAGCAAGACTCAAACTCAAGTCTCTTGTATAAGTACCAAGGAGCCCTATGTAAGCACTCACAGACAACTTCATCTTTCAAAATGAGGTATAGAGAGTTTAAACATAGGAAGAAACTCAACCATGCACAGTAGTCATGCGCTGTTTTAATACAGTCACAGAGTCACCATAAACAGCCCCTGAGGTATTTCCACAGTGAAATGGGGGGATCTCCTGGCAGGTGCAGAAATGACATGCCCCACCACCACCACGATGGGGAACACACATTGGGAGTTTTGGTAGTGAAGTGATGTTACCAGAGATGCTTCCTGTGCCTTAGAGAAGGTGGCTGCAACTCAGAGCAGCTGTTGCAGCTTCTCTAATCTGAGCCTGAGGATGAAGTGGTTCCTGGTGAGCCCACCACGCACAGACGTGAAAGCCTCTTTTTCACTTATGACTGCAATCCCAGTGTTCACATTCCCTTCAAAGCCAGAGTAGCACCGATGTGGTCCAGACCTGAGACTGCCTAGCTGTAAAGCTACAGAACCCAGCTTATCCTACCCAGTAAACTCTTATTTTCAATCCTACAGTTGTCACTCCTTTGAATGATGTTTTTGGTGCCCATTAGCATGGATGTATCGGATTCACATGTGCACCTTTATTAGCATTACCCAAATTCACATACTGTGCAATATAGCAAAAGGATTACTCTGAGTAAACTCTAGTGTTTGAATACTCTAGGTTTTGGTCATTTAAAATCACTCAGGCACGAAGGCTCAAGATGTGTTAGCAATCCCTGAATTAAAGACACTGAAGAAAAATCTCAGTCTGCAAATTACTAACACTGCTCAAGTTGATTGTTCAAAGATATCAGAATTCCCAGTACAAACTGGCTGCAGAGATGTGAGTAAGTGTTTTGGTCTCCTTACTAGACACATTTCTTTCATGACAAACTTGCTTACCCCAAGCTCATAATAAAGAATGCTGCTTCAAAACCCAACTGTGTTTCAGGAGGATGTTAGTGGAAACTTGTTCTGCAATTAAGCATTTCATACTATAGCAGCTCTAGAGAGATGTTAAGCAAACACTCTCCTCCACACACATCCTCCCCCTTATTAAGCTTTTGCTTCACTCCACTAAAATTCTGCATATACATTTTCTTTCCTGCTTTGCTGGTGGCTCATAACAGAAAGTTATTACAGTATACAATGCCTTAGTCACTTTTCTTGACATTTGTTGGTGTGCTAAGTTCAATACTCCAACTTACGTTAAGAGAAATTCCTGAATAAAATAGTGATTGCATATGACTAATTAGGGCAAATACAGAAGCTGATGAATCAGCAAACAGCTCAGTGAGGACACTGGAAGGGATTCAGCAGCAGAACGAATCAACATGAAGATGTGAGATATGCTTCTGCCTCTGGCCTCAGATCTGTTTGCTGATGGGTCACATCTCAGCATGATGGGCTCTGTATGCATTAACTCTCAGGATGTATCCCCATCAACACTGATTGATGAAACTTCTGATAATTTCAGTGGGAAGATGATCAGGGGCTTAATTGTCTCGTGTATCATCCCTCTGACGAACATTTACTATTTCTAAGCATGGATTTACCAGGTGGTAAAGAGAAGTAAGACTCCTTCCATTTATCTTGCTTGAGTTGACAGCTCATATCACATGGGATGTCACTGTAACAACCTGCCTGCAGCACTGGCTTTCCTGGGCTTTTGCTTCATAGTACAGCCCCTTACATTTAGGGAATAAATATTCATTGATTCAATAAACAAGCAAGGTCTTACAATGAAGGGTGCATACTAGTTTATCAATATTTGACCACAAAACCTGCTTTACCCACAGCACCCCTGTGGGAGCATTTACTTGAAAGAAAAGTGCCACACGGTCTTGAATGCTGTGCAGACCTGTGGCTCTGCTACACAGACTGACAGCGCAAGAACCTGAGATCTGTGGTGGTCATATCATTTCACAACAGAAAAGTGAATTGAAATTTGAATCAAATTCAAACCAAATCTTTGGTAGTGAAAGCTTAGTGCTGCTTTTTCCTAAATATGAAATATTGTCTGAAACAAGAGTATGTTTCTCTTTGGCAACTGTTATTTCCTCTGGTCTTTTCTAACCTTAGTGATTCTCCTCCCCTTCTTGTGCCAGAATCTTTTTTTTTTTTCTTTTTTGCTTTTTCACAATCCACAGTTTTTAAATCATGCCCACCTCTTAAAGCCTGCTTGACTCAGTGCACATTTAGGCATTTAGAAATACTCTCCTGACTGTGATTTCTGCACAGATGTATACCAATGTTGGCTAGAAATTCTACAGTATAATAAAAGCACTATGTCCAATTCAGAGTAATTAGATTTGGGGGAAGGATTTTCTACCCATGAAAGGAATTTACCAGATGAAAGCATAAGGCAAGCAGGCGCTCAGCAGGCTGTGTTGTAGTCTCACAAGTTGGCTGTATCCTGCCAACCCCAGGCCACTCCTGAGCAGATACTGCCAATTGTATGGTGGTTTTCCTGATGTGGACAAAAAGCAGGATGGAATTTTAAAATCATCATTACAGAAAAGATGGGTTTGTAGCCAAAGCCCTGAACAAAGACTTGGGGAGATGAGGTTTGGTTCCAGGCTTCCTGTTGGACTTTACACAAATCACTTAGAGAAAGGCTTTTGGATTTCAGTGCTGCAGTCCTTTACTACAATGCTGAGTGGAGGAGTTCACTGCATGCTAGGCATGAAGCCTGGTTCCCCATGCTGCACACTAGGAGATTTGGGGACCTGAGCAGGAGCCGCAGAAACCAGCTGAGGAGGGACTGACTGAGATAACCACAACGTCAACATTGAAAAAAGGAGTTCTACTTAGACCCATGGTCTTGTCAAAGCCAGGTCCAGTTTTTGTCCTTCAGGATATTTCTCTGTGTTCAAGATCCACAGCTGGTAACTCAGCCCTGCAGCTAGCAACTCAGCCCTGCCGCTAGCCACAGCAGTGGAACTTAGACTAGCCAAAGTCTGGGGGGTAAAGTGCTCTCTTAGAGGTCAGAGATGTTTGTTTAGCCTCTCTCCTGTCCAGCTCAGACCAGGATTTGGCACCCACTTGGGCAAAGCTTCATTTCTTCCTTCCTCAGGGAGCTGTTTCACTTTAGCTTCTTAACTGCTGTTTACAGAGAGACACTTGGGGACATGATGGAGCTGGGTTTAAAACCTCTCTTTCAAGCA